TGATATAAATTACTGGGTCATCCACTTTTTCACATTTAGCAATTCTCTTTCACAGTAAAACTCCATTTTCTTGTGCTTCGTGTTCCCTTAGAACCCACCCACACTAATTGCAAGAAAATTTCAGCCAATGCTGCAATGAGGATGACTCACATTGTCATATACAAGCTTTTACGACCTTATACAGAGAAAATGTTTCATCTCGATTTCCAGTGTCAAATGTAAAAGAGCAGGAAAACTTTTGACCTGTGGTTTGAACCCCGAGTCCCCCAGTTCGCTATTGTGGAGTTCTTTTGAAATCAAATGAAATGATGTGCACGAAAGTACAGAACATATGGAAGGTGCTTAATGAGAGATTCGTTTCCATTCTCTTATGTCAGCCACAGGTAGAATATCCTTAACTATGTCGGAAGCTCTATAAAAGCATGGACTGTGCCTATGGTATGTGCCATTATATCAGCAATGCTTAGTATAATGGCTGGCCCATAGTTAGTGTTCAATACATATTTATTGAATATTTAATGCTTATAATGGTTAATATTGAGTGTCAACTTGACGGGATCGAAGGATGCAGAGTATTGTTCCTGGGTGTGTCTGTGAAGGTGTAGCCAAAGGAGATTAACATTTGAGTCAGTGGATTGGGAAAGGCAAGTCCACTCTCAATCTGGGTGGGCACAATCTAATCAGCTGCCAACAAGGCCAGAATAAAAGCGGCCGAAGAACGTGGCCTCCATCTTTTTCTGTGCTGGCTGCTTCCTGCCCTTGAATATCGGACTCCAACAGTCTTCAGCTTTGGGACTCAGACTGGCTCTGATCCTAGAAACCTGACGTATCAATATTTATTTGACAGTCCAGCATGTGGACATGTCAGGGGTGATGACTAAGTATGCAGAAAGCCAGAAGGGCAGATATCCCCCCTCCCTGCTTCCTGGCATCCAGAGTACCACCATATGGCTTCCCCTCCCACTCCTCCTTGGAGCTTGCAATCCTCAGGAGAGATACAAAGCAGCATGGTAGCCACGGGGTAGCCCAGCAGTCCAGAGGGTGGTGACACCAGCGGGGGCGTTCTCACCAGACCATTCCTGACATGCAACTTGGGCTGTATTTTTGGTTTCCTGCCCACCCCTGCCTCCCTTAATCCCTGTTTATTTTCCAAGCTCAGATTCCCGAGCCTGCCTGTTGTTTCTATGGGACACCTACTGGTTTTCCAATAAATTCTCTGCCGTCAGTCAAGTGGGTTTCTAACATTTGCAACCAACCATTCAGATTCAAGTCCACTTCTCCTACCCCTGGCTTTGGTTTCCCAGCACATTAAACTCATTAAGCACTGTTTCTAGGGGTACATTTTAAAGTTACTTTTTTTTGGAGACAGGATCTTGCTCTGTTACCCAGTCTAGAGTGCAGTGGAATGACCTCAGTTCACTGCAGCCTCAACTTCCCAGGCTTAAGCCATTCTCCCACCTCAACCTCCTGAATAGTAGGGACTATGAGCACATGCCACCATGCTCGGCTAATTTTGTTTATTTTTTTGCAGAGATGTAGTTAATATGTTTCCTAGGCTAGTCTTGAACTCCTGGACTCAAGTGATCCTCCTGCCTTGGCCTCCCAAAGTGCTGGGATTACAGGTGTGGGCCACCACACTCGGCCTAGAGTTACTTTTGCATAGTTTTCAAAATCTCTTCTTCAAGACAGTCAACGTTTTTTTTTGTTTCATTTTTTGTTTTTTGTTTTTTGTTTGAGACAGAGTCTCACTCTGTCACCCAGGCTGGAGTACAGTGGCTGGATCTCGGCTCACTGACTGTAACCTCCATCTCCCAGGTTCAAGCCATTCTCTCCTGCCTCAGCCTCCCAAGTAGCTGGGATTACAGATGCCCACCACCACGCCCGGTTATTTTTTGTATTTTTTAGTAGAGATGCGGTTTTACCACTTTGGTCATGCTAGTCTCAAACTCCTGACCTAATGATCTGCCCGCCTCGGCTTCCCAAAGTGCTAGGACTACAGGCGTGAGCCACCACACCTGGCCAACAGTCAACGTTTTTTATGATTCTTTGATATCCTTAGTGCTTCTACAAAGTGTTCTATGCCTTCCTTAATAAAGTGAATTTTTTTTTTTTTTTTGAGACAGAGTTTCATTTTGTCCCTCAGACTGGAATGCAGTGGCGTGATCTTGGCTCACTGCAACCTCCACCTCCCGGGTTCAAGTGATTCTCCTGTCTCAGCCTCCCAAGCAGCTGGGATTACAGGTGCAGGCCGCCACACCAGGCTAATTTTTGTATTGTTAGTAGAGACGGGGTGGGGTTTCACCATGTTGGTCAGGCTGGTCTCAAACTCCTGACCTCAGGTGACCTGCCCACCTCAGCACTCCCAAAGTGCTGAGATTACAGGCTTGAGCCACTAGGCCCAGCCAGTAAAATAGAATTCTATGCACTCTAATTACTCTGTCACTTTATTTGTTGTCATATTTCTTAATCCCTAAGATTCATTTCTTGCTCATCTGCTCTTTTTACTCTATACTCATTTCCTTTTAGGGTTTGTGAGACTTAATAAGCTTTTATATTGCCAGATGTTATGCTAGCAACAACCCTCCACAGATAAATAAGACAGAGATCACCTGCGTGAAGATAATAGTTAAACGAGTAAGATGGAAAGTAGATTAATGCCTAGCCAGGAAACATAAGCTCTCATGCTTCTCGAAGCAAGGAGGAAAATATTACAGACATATAAAAGATGGGGATTTGATTCGGTGACATCTCCTTCTACAGCAGCAGGATGCATTTATTCCATCAGTGTTCACTGTGCCCTAGAATGTGCCAGGCACAATGTGGTGCCTGCTTCCTGGTAATATCTCCTTATTTCTCTCTTGTAGGATGAATAAACTGCTTTTGGAGGTACAAGCCCCTCTGTCTCTGTGTGTGTGTATAACAATAACTCACTTTTTAATGCATGAACAAGTGGAGAGACATCCTGGAATGTGTGGCTAGAGTCGACAACAAACTGCTTCTGCTGGAGGTGACACAGTCACCGCTGCTTTGAACCACGTTTTTTTTTTTTCTACCCATGTTACTGCATCCCCAGAGAACCATGCTGAGAACATTTCTCTCGTACATTCTCACTGCTGCCTATAATCCATCACTACAAAGAGAGGCCTTAAAAACGGCGCTCAAGGGAGACATGATTTCCTTTCCATTTCTCTCTCAGAAAAGCAGCTTATAATAGGGAAGGAAAAGATTGCATTTAGGTTAAAGGAATATAAATAAGAAAGACTCTGCCTCTTTCCTTCTTCAAGATGCTAAGCCTCAAAAGGGTTCTTGGTTTTAAAAACGGCCATCACCCCTTGGCCTGCACTAGACATTAATATTATAGACCTGGTCATAAAGCCAGAGGATTTTTAGTGGGAGCTCTTAAAGGGAAAGGATGGCTAAGTCAGGTTTCTTTGGTCACAGGCTCATAAATACAACTTTGTGAGGTTAGTCTTGTGGTTAGCTAGTACTCAAAATTTGCGATTCCCTCGAATATAGGGCTTCACAGGGGAACTATGGACTTTTCCTCAGACAAGAATGCAGTGCTGTAAATTACGACTTGAAAACAGAAACGACCAGAATTCCTAAGGTGACCGAAAGCCCCACAGAACTGTGTTAAAACACTCCTCATCGTTGGGCACATGTACTAAGGGGAGAAAGCAGGGAAAAGCGCCATTTTCTCCTTTTAAAAATTAACTTTGCCATTGAAAACAACACTGCGGCTTTTAACTGATTAAAAAAAAAACAAAACTTTCATTCACTAGACAAAATTTCCGTCAACTTACCCCACATTTAACTGGGGTCAAATGATTATTTCGCTAATGCTTATTATCAGTTATAGCTTAATAATGTTACTGCTGTTGCTGGGTAGAAAGTTTAAATTTTTAAAATATTTAAGCTCCTTAGATGCACTCAAGCTAGGGTTCTGCTTATCTGCTAATTTAAATAGCTAACAAAAGCTCCCAGTGAACGCAGGGTTGCAAGGTCCCCAGTGAAATGCAGTGCAAATCTCTATGCAGCTGTAGCCTGGGGGACTGAAGGTTTGGCCCGTGTCCTCCCACTTTTTTTTAGATTTCTGTCTTTTATTTTAATTTTACTTTAGGTACATGTGCAGGTCATGCCGAGTTGTTGCATAGGTGCATAACCAGGTAGTTTGCTGCTTCTATTCCCCCTTTGACTATAGCTAGCATTTCTCTCCATGTTATCACTACCCACCCTCCACTGTCCCTCCCCTAGCCCCCCCACCAACTGCGCTTCCTTTTTTTTCTAACTTCTCACAAAGTACCAAGGCGCCTGCTCGCTGGCTGTGTACAAGGAGCTTTGGTAACAGCACTCATAACTCTGCGGTTTTCATGATCAAGGATATTATTTCTCTCTGCTGAAGAAGAGGTCTTTCTCCATGTCACATTCTCCCTCTTTGACAGCTTGAATCCAAAAGGAGGCTTCACAATTAGAAGAAAAAGACTGAACCACAATAACTGTACTAATAGCCCCCTTCACTGCTCTAATTAGAATTCCCTTATTCCATTTCTGTTTCTCAGGAGAGGACAGGGGGCTTTCTAATTGAGGCTATTAGAAGTTCTCTTTACACAACAACACCCTGTGCTAACTGAAGGCTCCAGTGAAACCCATGCCCATTCTGCAATTACTTCTTGCAATTCTGGGGAATAATGGTGTCTTGTCTCATTTAAAAATAAATCTAAGGCTTATCCCTATGGCTTTCTCTCCTCTGCCTACTCACATGAATTTCTTCTTGCCAATTACGTAAACTTTCCGTTATTTAAGGAGGTAGTTTAGATTGCTACTGTTCCCTGATAATAAGACATATTGAACTGGATTTCATTTGCCCACAGCTTCATTATTCCAGATACGAGGCTAATTTACATAAGCTCGGATCTCAGATTTTGAGTTTATCCTGTAGTGAAACCATGCAGCTTTGGAATTTCCTGTGTGCTGTTCTGTTTACAGGCCACAGAACTTACCTGAAATAACCTGCACATTCAATGCTCTCAGTTTCTCAGAATCACTTCCTCTTAAGAGAACAGATGTAGGTTTGTCTTGATGACCTATTTCCAGAAAAGATATTAAGTATTTAGTAATAAACAAGCACACTGTTAACATATATTCCCCATGTTGGTTCAAAGGATTACCAAAAAGAATGGAGCCATTCACAACATGGCCTGGAATAATGAAACTGACCTAACAGTCCCATAAAGAGTTTCTTGGATAAACACAGGAATTGGCCCTTCTGGTCTTAATTGAACCTTACATTTGTTTTATCTGAGTTCCTCTCAAAAAACAGTATCAAAGAATTGAAACTCTCCAGATCTCCATATCCAGACAAAGAGATGCCAGACCCTTCATTCTCCATGATTGTTTTCTTACCCCTCCCTAGTTCCTGTTTTCTTACACATTGTTACATTTCTTCTCTGCTATATAAACCCCTAGTTTTAGTTGGTCAGGGAGATGGATATGAGACTGAGCTCCCAGCTCCTCACCTGTAGCACCCAATTAAAGCCTTCTTCCTTGGCAACACTGATCCTCTCCGTGATTGGCTTTCTGTGCAGCGAGCATCAAGACCTAGACCAAACCCCTGGTGTTACATCTAGTATTGTGGTGCTTGTATTGTTTGCCAAGGCTCTCACCTTCTTTACCAGGCAAGGCTATGTTGCCATTTCAGTAGGCAGAACAAGTGTTTGCCTCTAGGTTTCAGTAAAGTTGCAATTAATTCTTTTGACTAAGTATTTGTTGCAGATATTTCTATAACAGGATTCTGGGAGTTTTCCTTATAAAGTTATTTTCAATTAACAAATACAGGCTCTTTCCAAAACCAGTGGCTTCTCTACTACTATAAATGCCATTATGCCATCTCTTCTCATGAAAAGCACCAGCTCTTATACACAGAAATTATATTGTTTATCTTATTATATACCTAGACATGATGTGAAGAATATTTAATATATATTTAATATTCAATAACATTTAATGTCCTAAGTGGTGTGGCATTTTTTCTTACTTTGTATACTTGGATTTGCAAGCTTTTCAAAATTACTAAGTCTGTCATTTGGGCAGATATTTGTAAGAATTTAATTTGACTCCCCACTACTGGTCTCCATCTAGACATTTTTCCTAGCTCACTTCTGTCTCTCTTTGCTCATAGCTTTTCATAATGAAAAATGGGTCAAGAGACTCAGAACTATGCACTATTTATAAATAACACACTTTTACTTTAAGTAACAGAATTTTCAAAGCTAAATACCCCTACATCTTAGTTCTGACATTTTGCTAGCTATGCAGCTTTGGATAAAACACTTAACCTCTCTAAGTCTCAGGGTTTTTTTAATCTATAAAATAAAAATAGCATGTATTCTGTTTACATACTTTAAGAATCTAGTGAACATGCTCTGAAAATGGTTATTCTACAAATAAACAGTATTGATTATGTTATTAACCACTGCTCAAGGAAACTGCTCTCAAAAACATCTGCAACAAATGCTTAGTCAAAGGAATTAATTGCAACTTTACTGAAACCTAGAGGCAGCCACCTGTTCTGCCTACTGAAATGGCTAACACTGCCTTGCCTGGTAAAAAAGGTGGGAGCCTTGGGAAATGATACAACCTCGCAATACTACTGTCCTTGAATGAAAACTATGCAGTAGACACTGTGGTCAACTTTGTGAGTAATCTCTTTGTTTCCTTACCTCAACCCTGTGTGGTAGTGGTGATTATCCTTGTTTTACAGAGGAGGTAAGGATACATAATTTAAATAACTTGCTTAATGTCACATCATAGTAAGTGGTAGTACTAGGACTCTAACATAAATCCATTTGTTTTCAGTGCCTATTCTAATAGTGATACATTTTGCACTGTCTTTAAGAGGCTAGCTACTCATACCAGGAACTGTCCATTGAGCCTGATAGTCATACATTTTATGCATGGGTACATGCCAGTAGAACCAGTATTTGCCTGAGTACACACCAGTAGCACCATATCAGTAATTTACAGTCAATATCCACCCTGATAGGTGGGTGCCTAGGTCATATGAGTTATTAAATATTTCTAACATCATTCCTACTGTCCTGATTCCTAATTTCTAATTTCTTTTTTTTTTTTTATTGCATTTTAGGTTTTGGGGTACATGTGATGAACATGCAAGATTGTTGCATAGGTACACACATGGCAGTGTGCTTTGCTGCCTTCCGTCCCCTCACCTGTATCTGTCATTTCTCCCCATGCTATCTCTTCCCACCTCCCCACCCCCCGCCCCTCCCCCATTT